CTTTATTTTATTTTTATGTGGTGCTGAGGATCGAACCCAGTGTCCCACGCATGCCAGGCAAGCGCATTACCGCTTGAGCCACATCCCCAGCCCCTGGGTTCAATCTTTAGTACTACAAAATTAAAAAGGATACGTAGTTTTTTAGAATGAGACTTGAATTTTTTGTTTCTTCTCTGCAACTTACTATCACAGATCACAGATAACTTACTTAACCTCTCTGATCTTAAGTTTTCTCATCAGAAAAGGGTCTAGATGGGCTGGAACTATGGCTCAGTGGTAAAGTGCTTGCCTCAGAAAGGCTTTCTTTAATTAACTTTGCAAGGTTTCTATGATGACTATATATTACCCAGGGCAGCACCTGCTACAAAAATTGTACTCAAAAGCTGGGCATGGGGGTGCATGCCTGTAATCCCAGCAACTCTGGAGGCTGAGGCAGGAGGATCTCTAGTTTGAGACCAGCTTCAGCAAGTTAGTGAGGCCTTGTCTCAAAATAAAAAGGGATGGAGATGTATCTCAGTGGTAAAGAGCCACTGGCTTCAATTCTTAGTATAAAAAAAAATATATGTTCAATCAGTGACAGCTACTAGTATGGCCGTCATTATTACATGATGAAAAGAACAGAGGCGAAGAATTTTAGTGATTTTTTTCAAGCTATATACAGCCAGTAAATAGCAGAGCCAGGATGAGAACTCCCAAAGAAAATGCAATGGGAAGTAGTTGGATCCTAATGTACTCGGCCTCCTGAGTCCAGGGAACCCAAGAGTCCTTGCTGGTTCTAGTGCACACTCTTGTGTCGCCTCACTGGACACCTGAGCGCTCATCTCACTCTTCAAGAGCCGCCCAGTCCACCTTCAGGCCCCGGCTGGCTTTCCCCCTGCCTCCCTCTGCGTCTCCAACCCCCCTCACCTTCACCTCTTCCTCCAGTTTTTTCTGCAGCTCCTCCACTTTCCGGGTGACTTCACTCTGCCCTGCTATGGTCTTAGTCGAATCAGGAGGAACCATGTGCTGGAGGTAAGCAAGGAGGAGAGGGCGGAGTTGATCCAGACCCCGATCCCTGGAAACCTCCCAGCCCTCACCCGGACCCTTGCTCCCGCCTGAGGAAGGCCACTCACCGCCAGAGGCGCCATCTGCTCCAGAACCAAACTAACCTTCCTCCTAACAGAGGCTTCACTCTCTGAGCTTCTGGAAGGCAAAGGGATAGAAGCAAGAGTGAGCAGAGGAAAGAGGGAATGAAGAAGGAGAAGGGAAAAGAAGGGAAGGGTATGTCTCCGGTGTCGGTGGGCCCTGCCTACCCCTCCTTGAGGATGCCATAGATGGTGGCCTTCACGTGGTCTACACTCCCTGGTGGGGCCGTCTCCTGCTGGTCTCGGAGAAGGTCCGGAGTCGATTTGAACTGAAAAAAGAGAGAGAGAGAGAGAGAAGAAAAAAAATAGGAAGATTAGGCCAGAGGTGTGTATGGAGCCACCATGAAGTGGAGGGGGCAGCTTCAAGCATGATAAGGCCGAGCAATAGACCAGGGGTAGTGCAGGCAGGACACCCCCCAACACACACACTGTCATTACATTGTTATTTCCTCAGTAAGCAGATCTTAACAAGCCACGAGCTATGTCACCAGTAATTTGTCACTAGCGGTGGTTGATGTATTAGAGCTTCTGAATGATTTACTTTTAGAGTGAACATAACTTTGTCTCAAAGTAAAGTTGTTCCCCCACTTCCTTAATTTTTTTTTTTTTTTTTGGTACCAGGGATTGAACCCACGGGCACTTAACCACCAAGCCACATCCCCAGCCCTTTTTTATATTTTATTAGAGACAGGATTTCACTGAGTTGCTTAGGGCCTCTCTAAGTTGCTGAGGCTGGGCTTGAACTCACGATCCTTACCTCAGTCTCCTCAGCTGCTGGGATTACAGGTGTACGCCACCCTGCCCGGCTCGGCATTACATTCTTTTTTTTTTTTTTTTAACATTTTTTGAGTTGTCGATGGACCTTTATTTCATTTATTTGTATGCTGTGCTGAGAATTGAACCCAGTGCCGCACACATGTGAGGCAAGTGCCCTGTCACTGAGCTACATCCCCAGTCCTTGGCATAACATTCTTGATAAAGAAAGAAGGTGTGGAATTTTGGCAAGAGCACCAGGGAACTGCTCATATTCTCCAAGTCGGTCTTATGAAAACTGTAGACCTAGCCAATCAGTATTTGCAGGTGACTGAGGCCTGGTTAATGGCTGGGGCAATGACAAGTAACTCTCCATGCTTGTGAATAGTGATTTCTTTACTTTTTTCTTTAGCAGTACTCGGAATTGAACCAAGGGGTGCTCTGCCACTAAGCTGCATCCCCAGTCCTTTATTTTCTTATTTTGAGACAGGCTATGGCTAAGATATTGAAGATCTCGCTAAGTTGCCCAACCTGGCGTCAAATCTGTGATCCTCCTGCCCAGGATCTGGGATTACAAGTGTGTGCACTATGGCCAGGCACAGTGGCGCACGCCTGTAATCCAAGAGGCTCAAGAGGCTGAGGCAGGGGGATCATGAGTTCAAAGTCAGCCTCAGCAACTCAGCAAGACCCTGTCTCTAAATAAAAAGGGGCTGGGGATATGGCTCAATGGTCAAGCACCCCTGAATTCAATCCCTGGTACAAAAATAAAAAAACAGTGTGCACACATGCCTGGCTTGTGAATAGTGGTTTCAGAGTTAGTTCCACTTTCTTTAGAATTCTGCCCATAGAATTACCTCATATTTGTGAATATCACCCACTCGGGATGGAGAGCATAGGACGAGTCCTGGGGCTGGTGAGCCAGGGTGTGTGAGAGGGAGCGGGCAGAGGTGGGGAGGGACTGAGTCTGACCTGCAGCATGGTGGGATCCCGTGATTTCTCCTGTGGCTCCTCAAAACTCTGAATGACCCAGTCCTGAGCCGGATGGGGATGGCTAAGGCCCCGCACAGGGCTCGGGCTCTGGGAGGGCTGTTTCAGGCTGCCCACATGATTGTCATACTTTGCGCTAGGAGTCCAGTGGTCGGGGGACTGGCGCTCCCGTTCCTCCAGGGGGTCCTGTGGGAGCCGGCTGTCCAGGCTCTGGCTCCGTTTGCGCTGTTCATGGGGCAGTGTCCGAGTACGACGGCCCGTGCGTCCCCGGGTTTGGCCCCCAACTTGACTGTCAAATTTGTTGATGAGGGAGTCCACTGAAGACAAGGGAGCAGTGTCGATGGTGCTGTCTGGGGAAGTCTCTTTGGGTGCCAATTCCAGCAAGCTGCTGCTCCTGTTGCTCGAGTCCATAGGGATAGGGCCTGCCAGGGAGGCCTGGGACTGGGATCGGGGTAGTCTTCCATTCCAGTAGGACCCAGGCTCCTCATCAGATGTGCTGCCCTGCGAGGAGGCGGGAAACCCCTTCACCTGGGGGTAGGGGTTCTCAGGGAGTTCCGAATCAGAGCTCAGAGTTCCTGGGGCCCCTTGGTTGTCGGACCCCTTGATCTGGACCCCGAAGGAGTCACTTCCTTTCTCTCCACTGTTAAGCACCACAAAGGGCTGCCCAGCAATGCCCTGCACGCGCACGGCAACCCCGTAGGTATTGGCTCTTGCATCCTTAGTAGGGCGTCGCACTCCACGACGAATGGTGTCCATCTCTGCACCCCCCTCTGGCTCTGTGATAAAGCGGATCTGGACTCCATGGTCTACAGGGCCCCGAGGCTCAGCCATGGCAGATGCCTGCTCATGGGTAGGAGGGATCCTAGAAAATGAAGAAAAGAGTTTTAGCTGAATAACTTGCAACAGAAACCCAAACACCTCCACCTGCCCACCTTTAAGGAAACTGGTTGCCTTATCAGTTCCTTGTATACACCACAGTGGTTCTCATACTTTATCTGAGCAGCAGAAACATTGGAATGTGGGTCCCCACCCCCAGTTTCTGATTCAGTAGGTCTGGGGTGAGACTTGAGAATGTGCATTTCTAACTAAATTCTCCCTGGTGATGGCTGATACTATCTGGTACTATCTGCTGTTCCAGATAGCACACTTTGAAATTCACTGACCTAGAAGAATCTGTTTCCTCTGATACAGCCCTGGGGAGCCTGGCTTTGTCAAGAGTTTAAAGATTTTGCTTGATTTTCAAACATACTGTGCACATGTAATACTAAGTGCCTCCGTCCTCCTCTGAGTAAAGGCAGATCCCAGGCCTGCCTACCAGATAACCTCCACCCCCTGGAGGAAAGGGGGCCTCCTCTCCCAGAGCTCATTTAAAATACGGATGACCTCAAAATGTGGCATCCCATTTCTGAAAAGATATTCACACTGATGGCAGTGATGCATCTGCGGTAGGGGAATGAGAACTGGGGACAGGGATGGGAGAAGGGAGTGTTTCTATTCTCTAGAATAGAAAGGCATGGACTCTCTACTCCTTTTGCCTTTGAGACCATGTAGATACATTAACTATTCAAGAAAAGATCTACAGCTGGGGACACAGCTTAGTGCCAGAATGCTTGTCCAGCATGTGGAAGGCCCTGATTTTGATCCCCAGCAAACAAACACCAGACGAAAAAGAAAAGACTTAAATTAGGTTTTTTAAGTGGGCCAATCCAAACACACACTCCCCACCCCCAATAGGTAGGGCAGAGGCAAGGCTATCGACAGACTAGCTCCCTGGTCCGCATTCCAAGCTTGGAGTCAGCAGATGGAATATTTCAGGTGTGCTCTGGCTCCAGGAACTTGGGGGAGAGGTTCTACTCCAAGAAAAAAAAAAAGAAGAAGAAGAAAGAAAAAAAATCCAGCTTCCCCACCCCTTCTGCTAGTCTGTACCAGAGCCCAGCCCCAGCCTCCAGGAGGAGCCTCGAATGTGCCAGACAGAAAAGTAAACATGCCCAACGCAACCTCCTTGTTGAGTTCTGGGCCAAGGAAACTTGGCAAGATCCCTTTTAGGAATTGTAGAAGTGCTAGAAAACCAGCAACCAGGGTGAGATAAGAAGGGAGAGGGAGAGAGGCAGAGGCAGAGCTCCAGGTGAGAAAGGGCTGGTGGGGGTCTCTAGCATTCCCAGCCCCTCTCCTCAGGAGAAAGGAACAGGGAGGGAGGGGTCCTTCTGGGGGAATGGTTCTTCATTTTGGGGGCGTTGGGACTAGATTTGAGAAAACTGCGAAAGCCATGCATCCTCCCCCAGGAGACACCCCACACAAATTTCTGCCACAAAATCTTAAAAGGTTTGAGAAAGCAGAGAGGTATAGTAGTTCTCCGAACCATTCATCTGGTAGAAAAGACACTGCAGTAGAGTTGAGATCAGGCTTGGAAAATCCTAGTTCTGCTCTTCACTTGATGTATATAACCTTTCGCAAATCACAATTTGTCTGAGCCTCTGTTTCCTCATCAATAAAATGGGTATAATGAAACTTCACAAGGTAATTAGCTGTGAGAATGACAATAAATAATTACACAGTGTATACGATTGCAAAAAGTTGTCAAGTTATGCTCTTAAAATTTTTGCACTTTATTACACTTATTAGATTTCACTTTAACAGAGTGAGCAAATGATAATATATTCAACATGAAGGCCCTGTCACAAATCTGACAGTAAATGCTACTGTTCACATAAATGACCTCCTTTCCACTGTAACTTCTTGGTTTTACTTGGTTCACAGAAGGATGTCACATCCTCAGAGAAGCCTTCCCTGACCATTACCTCCCACAAACCAGATCAGATCCACATTATGTGCTCTACAGTTAACCCTCGGGTGAGTTCATCTCAGTTTACATTGGAGTGATTGTTTTCTAGCTCCCCCCCCACCAGACTATAAGTTCCTAGAGGGCAAAGACCATCAACATCTGAGCCCAGTGCCTCGCGTGGTAGATGTGGACAAATATTTGTTGAAGGTTGTATCCTGAACCAAGGCTGAGTCGCCTAGCAGCAGGAAGATTGTCCAGCGATAGCCCACAGCCATTTCTCTCTTACCCTACTAACAAGACCTCTTCCTGGTCTGAAGTCCTGGCCCTATGCAGTCATGATCTTAGAATCATATGTGCCAGGACTGCTACTCTCAAAAGTCACATGATTTATGCATGACAGAACTCTGTCCTGTCAGTACGTCTACAGCTCTTCCAGATCCAGGTCAAAGAGTTCCCACCTAGGCCCGGCAAAGTGCACAGCCCCTTGGGTGAGAACGCCAAGTTGTGCAAAGGTAGTATGGAGTACTCCCCCAGATCCCATGACTCCCCAGTCTCAATCACCTTTAGTCCCAAGGCATGTGGGTCAAGGGCCAGGAGGGCTGAGGGATCTTTGGGGTGGGTCAGACAGCAGGGTTCTAAATGATTCAACACGGAAAACCAGAAACCTACCCTCCTTCAGTTACAGAGGACAGCAGGGCGGGGCCAAGGGAACAGGGCAGCTCCAAGGCCTTGCGTAAGTCCCAGAGGCAGGTAAACAATGATTGGGCACCAGGCAACATGGAGCCCAGGGCCTGTGCTCTCACCAGATGCCCGACCCTGCTTTTTCCTCCCCCGGCATCTGCCCAGGGCTCTTCTCACCGACTGTACTCTGGGAACAGACTAGGACACAAGTTAGTTCAGCTTCATCTGTCTGCCTCTGCCATTCCTGCCTGCAGAGAGGAGGACCCGCTGCACCTGGGCCGACAGCCGCTTCTCCTGAGTTACTCATTAGCCTGCCCTGCCCCAGTTCCATCACCTCTGGCCCAGCCATAGGCATCTGGTTCCCAACTAGGAGTGACAGGGTCCCTGGACTTCTAGCAGGAAGTGGGGGTGGGGTGGTTTCGGGGTGTGTGGGGGGGGGCAGGCACACACACACACACACACACAGGACAAACTGGTACACAGAGGGCCAGGCGATATGCCAGATGCCAAATAACTCGCATATTTAGAAAATAGGAGAATCAAAAGAGCAGAGATTAGAAGCCCCTGCATGGTAACAAATAAAGTAAATAGTCAAAATAGAAAAGGACAGCTCCCCTTCTCTTATCTCTTTCTTATCTCTATAACAAGGTTCCCCATGGGTCCAAATAGAAGCTTCTCCCCAAGTGGACTCCTGGCTAGGTCCACCGAAAAAGGCAGAAACCTGAGAGCCAGATAGAGCTGCTTGGCCAGTGGGGAAAAAAAACCACAATGAAGAACTGGGCCCCTACAAACTGGCTGGACTGGTTTGAGAGGCAAGGGGAAGGGGAGGGCCAGGGAAACTACATGGGCAGCTGGTACGGCAGACCAGAGAAATTCCATACCAGAGGAGGCGGGAGGAAGGGCAAGACCATGGGAAGGGCTCTGTCCAGCTTGGATGCCAAAGCCAAGGCTCCCAAGGAGGAGGCACCCGTTCAGGAGGGAAGAGGCAGGAGAAGCAGATGCACAAAGAACCTGGTGAGTGACAGAACAGTGTGTGACAGGAAGACTTTGTCTCCCTTCACCACTCCCTCTCAAGTTCCCAAAGTTGCATTCCTGATCCCACACTTACCTTACCACATCCCCAGCCAAGATCTCCCCTCCCTGGCCTGAAGAGAAGCAGCCCTACCCCCTCCGCACCTCCCACAAGGGTAATGGCATGCAGACCAGCCTGGGAACTGCAGGCAGCGATCTAGGAAGCCAGAATCCTCTTAGAGTCAGACAAATCTCTGGATTAGCAGGCCCCCAGAGCCAGACCCCTACTCCCAAATACCCCCAATAAAAAAAAAAAGAGGTGCTGTGGCACGTGCATGCGGACCATCTACAAACAGCAGTTGCTAATTATTTCCCAATTACAACCTTCCTCAGGCAGGGCATCAAAGGGGCCAAGCTGAGGTTGGCTCTGGTTCCATAGCTGCCTCAGGCAAGGAAATCTGCCTTAGAAGTCTTGTCTGGGCCCCAGTGAGCACCTCTCAACTGGCCTGGGGATTTGGAGGTGTAATTCCCCTCCTCTTTTGGTCTCCTGGGGAGTTCTGCCTATTTCCTGCACCACTAGTGCCTACTGCCAATCTGACAGCCATCAAGGATCGGGGATCAGGGATGCCTCAAGGGGTTTCAGGGAGTGACAAGGCTTCCAGGAAAACATCAAGGAAACAGATTTGGCTCCCAGACCTCACTCAGTGTCCCCCATCTAGAATTAAAGAAGAAATTACGTGTGCTTGGAGGAAAGAGTTCTCATGAGAAATAAGGATTTCTAGGTATTTTGTAAACCCATGGATCTATGCTTCTGCATATCCCTCTCTTGGAGAGCACATTCTCTCTCCGGGAGAATAAGGAAAAATGCTCCCTGGCATGAAAGCAAGGAAAGCCTTAGATAGTTTCACACCTAGCCAGGAGAGTGGGGGTGCCCTCTTGTTCTCCCCTCCCATATTTCTGCTGGCAGCTGCCTTCACCTGTAGGTGAATGGTTACAGAAAGATTCCGCACCTCAGAGCCATCTCCAACCCAGAGAGGTGTCTGTGGCCAGCTCAGACTGGCAATCCGGAAAAGGAACCTCGGGAAAACAGCACCTGCTGTTGCCCTCCCCTTAAGTCTCTGAACCTCAGGCAGCAGTTCCCTTCGCCCAGCCGGGACTAATTCTTTCACCCCACCGTCACCCCGGTCTCCAAGAAAAATTCTGCCCCTAGGGCTGGCACCTGACCTCCAGAGATCTCCTGGCCCTGAAATGCTTTCATGCCCTGGGAATAGCCTCAGCTTCAGGTGCCCAACGCTGACACCTTCTCTGGCACCTGCTCTAGCACCTGAGAGCAGGGGTCAACCCTTGATCAGTCCTGCCACCCGAG